ACAATCACGGTGCAACTACATGGCAAAGCAAAATAATAGATTATTAAAATAAAGGTTTTCAAACCTAATACCGACCTTAGGTCGGTATTAGAAATATCTATACCTATTACCGACTCAATATATTTTTACGATTTTTTACTACAAAATTACTACATTATAGTATAGACAACATGTATGGAAATGTCTTCAAACTTTATAATAAATATATAAAAATATCTACTTGAATTTTATGCTTAATTTCTTTATTTGTGTACTTACCCCTTTAATGAATCACAAGCGCACGTAACCTACACTCTACGAAATCTGACCATAAACTAATTCGAATGGCATCAATTCGGGTACTTTCGTTCTAGACACTAATAAATTATTCACGTGATTTTGGCGAGTAGACTAAAATTGTGACAATACAACGTTCCTTTCATCCACAAAGCTTAATATTTCGTATTAATCATTTGGATCGGTAATAGGTGTTATTTTTGTATGGGTCGGTATTAGGTGACTTTACCTTAGTACCTCTTCGTTGGTCACGTGCTCAGTCCAGGATATACGTAATATACGTCTGTAAGCCCACATTTCGAAGGCCTCTACTTTTTTCATCAATGATGCGGTCATTGTCCACGCCTCCATTCCATATAACAAAACCGGGAATACATAACATTTCAGAATTCGAATTTTGAGAGGTAGGGTGAGGCTTTTAGAGGTGAAAATTTGCTTCATGCTAGTGAACGATGCTCTTGCCTTTTCTACTCTTATACATATTTCCTTCGCTTGATCCCAATTTGAGTTAACTGTTGTTAGATCCCAAGTAGATGTACGAATCCACGTAATATATATATAATAATATAATAAATAATATACCTAATTAAAACTCTGTTCCTATAAACTATAAAATTAATTAAAAGTCAATCACTGGGAGAGAAAGCTCAAAAAATTGTAAGGTGTTTCGATCAAAAAACAATTCCTGATCTTGTTAGTACGCTAGAATTGCTTTACATACAACATACAACAAAGAATTATTTTTTACATTTATTTGAAAATTCGAAATGTGAAGTATAGTTTAGGATTTTTAAATTAAAAAATAAATAAGTAAGTCTCAAATACCTCCCCACTAGAGCTCAACAAAGGAAGATAAGAAAAAGCCCAAAATGGTTGCTGGGACATAGACCATAGCAAATCCTTAGACATCCAAATCAGCAACACCCGACGATAAAAAGAGACTTCGGGAGAATACTATCATCCCCTTGTTACAGAGTTGCTAAGAAATCAAGATACTCTAACGAGCAGACTAAATAGTCATAAAGCACCCTGATAAAAGTGGTAGCACAGAGACACCATCCTGATACTAAACTAGATCGGGCTCAAGCAAATTTGATCATTAACAAACTAGAGCAAGCACTTGAGGCTCCTATCTGAGGTCAAAAGGAACTCCTGCAGTTCCATAAAACATCGTTTAGCGAAGGGACTCTGTGGGTGAACTGTGTTAATGAGTATACAAAAAAAAACGACTGAAGTGGTGAAGACTATTGAGGGCCTGTGGGAGAGAGTAAACTTAAATATAATTGTTTCAATAATATGCCCAAGCGCCCCATGATCCTCACCCGCGACCCTAAGAAAAAACTTGATGAAGAAACTATCAGGACCCATCTAAAAAGGCAAAATCAAGACCTTAACACAGAAGACTTGTGATCTCTGTTCCACATACTGAACGACAGTAAAGATAAAGGTTATAGAGGGAGGAGTTATGGAGATAGTTCTCAGATCAGCATACCTCCCATATGCTATCTACCTCCGTTTCTTCTTCCAGGCGGCTTTCATCTGTGAAGTTTTTGGGGCCAACGTTAGTCAGGTTATTATCTTTCTTTGAAACAATCTACCGAAAGTAGGTTGGACACTCAATCCTCTGTAGCAGTTAGGATCTTTTCGATTACCCTTTTTAAAGATGGACACTAGGTGAGCGGTTTTCCATTCAGATGGTACTTTAATTTGGTGGCAACATTGCTCCATTAGAAAAGTTATTCGTTCTATTAGGAGTAGACCTCCTGCTTTAAGTAACTCTACAGCTATATTGCCAGGTCCTGGAGATCGCCCGTTGTTCATTTTAATTAACGCAGTACGGACCTCGTTATTAATAGTATTAATGTTACTATTTGTTTGTCTCTCCATTCTGTATTCCTGTCCCATATATTCCAATCTGGACTGTTGGAGTAAATTTTAATAGTGATTTTCCCACTTTTCTATAGGAATTAAGTTACTTAAGGAGTTATGAGTGTTTTATTTTAGATTAGTGATAGTTTTCCATGCTTCCGTACTCTGAGAACTACCAATTAAATTTTCAACTTGGACACATTTTTATTCCCAGAAATTCTTTTTGCGTCTATCTTCTAGTGATGTTGGCAACCACATTGACCTATCTTATTCTATTCATAGAAGTTCGAAATAGATCAATTGATGTTAGACCAGTCCATTTCCTAAGATTGACCAGCCAGGATATACGTCTACGTCCAGGGTCTCTCATACCCTCAATCTTGCCCTGTAGAAGTCGGTATTTATCATTACGCATGATGTGGCCGAAGTAAGCCAATTTTTCTGTTTTTTGTAATGTTAATAATTTCTTTGTCTTTTCTTAGCCTTTGGAGAATAGTTATGTTACTTGTATGGTGTATACATGACACCCTCAATATACGTCGGTAGCACCACATTTCAAATGCCTCCAATCGGTTTATGACATCTTCTCGAAGGTCCAGCTTTCTACTCCAGCTTTCTCTTCCAGCTTTCTACTCCATAGGGTAGAGAGTAGAGAGATCTACACTAAAAAAGTAACATCTAAGAATTCTTATCCGTATATTAACACTTAGATATAGTTGCAGAGAATCTTCCTAAGGCTGTTGAAAGAGCTTCTGGCTTTTTCAATACGAGTTTTTATTTCGTAGCTATATCCCAAGTATCCTTAATATTGCAGCCCAAATAGCATATTTTTTCCACTCTTTCTAACGGTGTATCGTTAATTGTAATTCGGGCGTTTATGCCGGTGTTCTTACTAATGATCACTATTTTTGTCTTCTGCAATTTAGTTTTAGGCCGTATTTGTTACATGCTTCTACAACGTTATCCATCATCCATTGGAGCCCTTGCGCACTGTCTGCCAGCAACACTGTATCTTCTGATTCGTCCAAGGCCTCTCTAAAGATGTTTTCAGAGTATATATTAAATAATGCCGGTGACAATATGCAACCCTGTCTAACTCCTTTTCCGACTGTGAAGATCTTGGACAGTTCATTTTCTAATCGTATTGTTGCTTTTTGTTGGAGATATAAGTTTGAGATCAGTCTTATATCCTTATCATCGAGTCCTGATGTTTTTAGGATATCGATTAGTTTCCCATGTAGGACTTTATCAAATGCGTTCTCGAAATCAATGAAACACACATCGCAATTGACATCCCTGGCTTTATGTATTAGAACTTGCAAACTAAAAAGTGCTTCCCTCGTTCCGAGTCCTGCTCTGAATCCAAATTGAACTCCATCAGGTGTTTTTCTAATTTGGTGTATATGTAGTCTAGACGGGATCTGTTTTGGATTGGACATTTTCCATAGGAAGCTATTTTTTGCTGGAATCCATTCAGGATACGCCCAGTATCGATAATCACGATATGCGCCAGTCGCAAACCCTGTGCTAAATTTTTTATTTAACAAAATCTGAAAACAATTGAAAATTTCTCATTTTTTTGCTCTTATTTTCATTTATAATTCGGAAAATAGTGATCCTAGAGAAAAAATTATAAGAAGTTAAAAGTTTCGTTATTCAATCTTACACAATATTTTGTTTGCTAGAAATTGAAAATTTAATGGTTATTGTTGAAAAAATAGCAATAATTGGAAAAAAGATACAAAAAATTAAGTTAATCCTTTAAATGTTTTCGACTTTCTAAACTTGACTTACAAGTTCCATATTCCACCTAAAAAAACTTTTTAATATGTTTAAACCGTGTGCTAAATTTTGTTAAGATCGGTCGGATAGGTTTTGCATAATAATTTTGCAATCCAGCCTACTGGAAAAAATCGCAAATTTTCAAATTCATAGTAGGTCCTAAATAAGGCCCTCAGATAGTTGCAATTTTTTTTTACATATAAAGAAAGTCTCAAACTTTCAAACGCTTTTTGTAAAATTCAAATCGGTTCACTAGGAGAGCCTAAAATTTTTTTTATAGTTTATAAGGTTATTTTCTTCACTGCAATATTCAAACATGTAAAAATATTGATCACAGTAAAATATTGGAAGAAGTTGAACGAGATATGGATATGGAGTCGATGGATTCCTTAGATTTTTTGGAGGCACAAGATAAAGCTACAAATGAAGAAGAAGAAACATTAAATTTACAGATCGAGGATGAAGATATTGAGATGGAAAATGAAGGTTTTAAGGAAGAAATAAGACCCGAAGATTCTTGTCCTTCCAAAAAAAGAAAAAGACTTAAAAAAATTATTGAAGATTGAGTCAAAATAAAGTTTATTTATGAAAAGAAATTTTTTTTATTCGCCTTTGTTTTAACACTTTAAATTATTTATTAACAATTTATAAATACATATTTGTTTACTAAAAGTAACAATTTACTTAAATGTATAAATTGCAAGCTCAAAAAAACCAGTTTCGAGCATTACACAGCAGTATAATAACATGTCAATATACAATATACACGTCACTTTCGAATCAAAATATGTATTCTTTCCATCTTCAAAATTTATCGTTAATGGTAGTCAACATTTGGCCTTCAATGTCTACAACTATGCCTGTTTTGTGTTGTTTTCTGGTATTCTGTACCTCTTTAATTTTTTTGTGCATATGGAAATCGTCATGTTTGCGTTGTAGTGTTTCAACTTCCATACATTTCTCCGTACTCTTTGATTGCGTACTTCTCCGTTTTTCGTTTGATATGTTACTCTATTGCTAGATGTTTTATTTGTTAGCCATTTCTTATACATTTTGTTTTTTCCTTGTATCATTTATTTTACGTTTTCTGTCATCCATGGTGGTTCGTGGTGTTGTTTGTCGTTGTTCTCTGTTCCTAATACTTCATAAGCCATTTTTTTTATTATCGTTTTGAGGTTGTTGTATTCTTGTTCTACATCCATATTTCTTTTTATCTCATTTGGTTCCTTTTCTAATCTAGATTGATAAAGATGAATACTTGATTGGAATAAAAGGTGCAATTTATATCTCTCCATTTTGTACTGTGTAGTTTTGTTGGACCTACCCTGATGGAATAACATCGTGTCAGAATATATCAGGAATCAGATATGCGAATACGTACTTAGCGGAGAAAGGCAATGGATAGGAACGACTGGAAAGAAGTTCATGAGAAGGCTAAAATCCACGTAGGGTTGTAAAGCCAGAATGATGATAATGATGAATTTTATTGATTATATCGTTAAATATTTCCAAAATTTCTAAATTTAATAATTTCTTCTTTGTTTTTAATATAATATCTTAACATAAAATTAAAACACAACTCTTATATATTTAATTTGATACATTTCGCCTAATTATCATATTTCTTAGAAGAAAATAATTTTAAACTAACTATTTTTGTTTGCAAAATATTTATATTCCAAACAATTTTATTTCAAGTATTATTGTTCTTCACATGCTTTTAAAATTTTATTATTTACCAAATGTACCTACTTCCATTCAAGAGTGTAAAGTGCCCAGCATCTGGTCAACAGACCAATCTTTTTTCACGTTCGTTTGGTTACCTCCCTTTCACTGACAAAGATTATAGAATTTAGATGCATGTATTCTTTCATTCTTTAAAACCTTATTTTGTTGGTAAACATCATACAAGCAGAGAACTACTCTGATACAAGTGTATACAAGTGAAAATTTTGATAAATATATTTCAAAATGACAAAACATTATTCTGAATTTCTCATAGTTAAATAAGTATATAAAATAAAAAAAAAAGTATTAAATTAAATGTATGTCGATTGTATTGACAAGTATGGATATTAAATTTGTGTGCAAAAATGCAATTATTAAATATGAGTAACTTATTTTGCCGTACAGATTTGTAATTGCAATATTTACATTTTTCATTAATTTGAGATATTAGGCGAAACGTGTTTTTTATTCGTATATATAGTCTATACAGACCATTATTTTTAACTATCAGGTCTGTAGGATGTAATTTGAGGTTTATCGTTGTAATATTATTATTTTTTGAAAATTTTAATTTAATTTTTGAATGAACCTTTGTCTAAATATACTGAGTAATTATAGTACAATTACATCAAATATTGTTCGGTAGGACAACGCAATTTGAAAAATATAACAAAAAGTTCATTTTTATTTTTTACTACTTAATTTAATTCTAAATGTTTTAGATTTCTCTGAAGAAGCCAGTTTTAAAGTTAAAAGTGTGGTTTGCGATATCGGTCGTAGCAGTCAAATTGCGATAAAAAATCTTGGAATAATGCCAGAGAAACCATCCATTGAAAAATTTGGTCCAAATTTTTTTTTTAATTATAACCCTCCTCACGTAATTAAGTGTGTAATAATCTTCATAATCGTGATTTTTTAATTGAAAACACCGTGGTTTCATGGGGTCCAATTCGAGAATTAAGAGAAGACAAAATAAATGCGATATGTAAATAGGCACCTAACTTAACTGATCGATACATAGATCCTAATCCATTCGAAATGTCTAGCCACTCACATTTTTAGTAAAACCGTTTCAGCAGCTAAGTTAGCCGGTAAACTTTCAAATGTAAACCCTTTAAAATACGAACACTGCATTTCAACCGCTGATTTTTTTTAAATTAACGATCTCTTTGATTGTTTAAATAGTAGATCGACCAATGATCCAAATCCCCTACGGAAACCACTATCTCATTTGAATATCCAAGTTGAAAACTATTTAAAGAATCATTTAAATTGGATTAAATCATGGAAATGTAAAGATATTGAAACTAACCCACCATCTTTTAATGGTTTTTATCTAACAATTAATAGTGTTTTAATGCAGTGGAACGAAATGAAAAAGAGGATAATGAATATTTATTAACTTTACGGCTTAATCAAGATTCGTTAGACAATTTATTGGGAACGCTTAGAAATAGATTTGGCTATAATTCAAATCCAATTGCGATGAAATTAAGGCATAATTTACAATATACAATGTAAATAACTAATTTAATTTAACTAGCTAATTTAACATCTGTTTCTAAATTAACTAATTGCAAAGCTGACAAGATATTGAAGAAAAAAAATGATGGACAAATAAGCTTTAATAATAAACGTATTGATTCTGTAACTGATTTAGAGGTTTGTGCTTTTATGGATGCAGGGGATGAAATGTCAGAAAAACCTGATGCAAGTATTAAAAATACTATGTATTCTAATGATCCTTTAAACAAATGCTCACGGTTTTCAGATAAATACACAAGATTGTAATAGCGATAATGATGATTCGATATCTTATAAGGAAGTTGATGACTTTGTCGAAGATGAATTAGGTAGTACTTCTAGCTTGAATGAAGTTTTTAAATGAAGAATTTAAAATGTTTATAAATATTTGAAAGAGTATCAACTAATGCATCTTCGACTGGGTCAACTTCTCTTTATCTCAATTCACTCAAGTACCTTGCCGGATATTTTGCATACAAATGTCTAAAAAAACTAATTGTGAAAATTATTTTGTTCGTAAAAATGTTAATTTTATTTCAATGACAGATCTTTTATTATTTTTTAAAGCTTATAAAATACTAACGAACTTGGTAATCTTTGCGTACCTACACATGAATTTACAGAATTAATACATATTTCACTTGATATTTTTGATGTTGAGTTTAAAAATGTTTGTTATTTGGAAAATGTCAGTAAGTTGATTTTAAATGGTATAAAAAAAAATAAATGAAATCAATCCATCATTTTTAAACATTGACGACTCTTGTAAATCACATCGACAACGGTTATTAGAATTTAGAATTAGAATTTTATTGACTTCATTTTTGAAACCGATAATTATTCATTCATGTATGAATAAAAAAATCAGTTATGAAGATTATATTTTGATAAATGTCATAAATTTCTAAATAAAACTTATTTTAATTGTAATTAATGTCAACAGTTTATTTTCGATTAAGTATAAATCAATTTAAGACTATATTGTAATAATTTCACCAATATTCATTCATTGTGAAAATTATGTTTTACTACTAGTTGTTATTTTAAAACAAGATTAAATAGTTAATAAATCAGGAATGCTTTTTGTTGTTATTAAAAAATTATGGATGAAATGGAAGTTCCGGCGAAATGGAAAATTTCATAATTTAATAAAAAGTTTCATTGAATACTTTTTTGAACAGGACAATTGTTCAATGAAATAATTTGGAAAATTATCTAAAAAGTTTGATGAAATGTCCTGAAAAAATTAGATTTTTGGTTGAACAATTTTGAAATTTTTTAAAAATGTTTCGTTAATTTTTGGGCAGAAAAACAGTATAATAAAAAGTTATGTGACGGTTTTTCGTAATGTTGGAACAAACCTATTTTTAATTCAAAGTTATGAAATTAAAAAAAATACTTTGAATATTGTAAATATCATACATTTTTAAGTTTTAAAATTAAAAATATAACCATTTAATATATTAAAAATAAAGATTTTATTGTGAAAAAACAAAAAAAAAAGACAGTTTGCAAATCAATGACATCGAAATTTGTTTAGGTGTAGATGCAAAGTTACATAAATACGTACTCCTTTCCCAATTCCCCCTAACTACATATTTCATTAAGCCGACGGTCAAGGCATCACGCTTTGGGTTTATGCTGCCACCCTCTTAAGGAGTATTTTGAAGTTTTGAAGAAACCGTAACCAAATTAGTGATTGGACATCGAAACGAAACATCGATGTTGACTATCGGCGATATTATCGGACATATACATCGATGTTATCGATGTATCGAATGACAAACATCGATGTTCTAGAAACATCGATGTAGTTTTCATAAAGAAAATAAACAATGACGTATAATATATAGACTCGGTGAACGCTTTAAAAAGTGTCCAAAACATGAATACCTTTGTTATTGTTTATTGTTTTGATACGAAGATACACGAAGTTCATGATTTCTTACGAAGCATCACGAAGTTGATCTTGTGTTTGAAAACATCATGGACGTATGAAAACATTTTCTCCATTTTGTGTGACAAGCAAATTTTATTTCTAATTGTTGAGAGTTATTTACTTACTATTTTAGTTAAATACCATACTATTTTATCAAAATAATTATTTCTCTTATAGATGGGAACAAAAAGAAATCATAAATATTTAATTTTAATTAAAAAAATAATTATTGTCATTAAAATATAAATGAGCACGCCGCTGTTCTGATAAACATACCTTCAACCTTCAGCCGAGATCTTTCGGACACTCGATTCTATAGGGAGAATAGGGGACTGCGTAGTCTATATATTATACGTCATTGAAAATAAATAATTATAGGTAACATAACCTCACAAAATTAAATTAAATCAAATTACTGTTTTTTTATTAAAAATCTTTACTAAAACTTATAAATATAATAGAAATATGAAGTATAAACTTGATAAAAACAAAAACTAGTTGATGCTGAAAAAAATTTTTTCGTCAACAGATCTTAGAAATAGGATTTTTTGCAATTTATTGCCACTTAATCTGTTCCGCCTTTCGGTTAATACTTGTGAAGCTTTAGAGAAAAGGCGTTCTGAAGGTACAGAAGTAGCAATAACACATAAATATTGTTTTGTTATTTTGTACAAATTAGAGTACATATCTTTATGATTTTTCCACCATTCTAGAGGATTGGTATTTAATGGCACCACTGGAGTTCTTAAATATAAACTAATTTCCGATGAACTTTCAGTCTCAGTTGTAACAGTTGAAGTTGATGCTAAATGTTCTTCAACTATACTTTGATGATTTGACCACAAATTAAATTTATCTAAAAAAGATAAAAAGTGTCTTGAATAGGTATACAATTTTGTAATTTTAAATAATAATCAACTTTATTTGAATTGTACAAGTAGCTCTACAAAAATCAGCGCAAATTTTTAATAGTATTTTTGCTACAAATGACAGTGGTATTAAAGATTAGTATAGATTTATTACCTCTTAAGATAGATACATACCTGAAGTATTCGACTGTGCAGTGTTTAAATTCTCATTGATTGTAGTTTCAGTTTCTGTAGGATTTATAGTTTTTAAATCGATAAGTATATGTTCTACAGCCTTCGCACAGTTTAGGGGGTTCGAAAAGTACAGTTTTTTAAATCTTGGATCCAAGACTGTAGCTTTTGCTAGTACAGCTACTTGTTCAGCTGACCCTAGTCTTTTTTTTATTTGCTGAACTAATTTTTCTTTAAAAACTGTTCCAAGATCTGAATCATCCACATTAATTTCTTCTGTTTTTTTAATTAAATGGTACACTATTGGAATAATGGTGCTTCCTGTAGGAAAATGCTCTCCAGAAATTTCTGTAGTTACAGCTTCCAGTGGTTCTAATAGTGACTTAATTTTTGATAAATCACTGAGTTCTCGTGCTGTTAACATGAGTGGTGCAGTGGTATGATTATTTATTATAATATTAACATATTCCCGTAACTCCAAAAATCTTTTGATCATGTAATATACAGAATTCCATCTTGTGGGCACGGATTGTTTTAAACTGTATTGAACTGTATTTGATTTCTGAGCTGCTCTTAATTCATCTGCGGCTATTATGCTTTGTTTAAACCAGGTAACTACAGTTTTCATTTTTTTTATTAACTCACCTAAATTAGGTGTATCTTCTATAGCTTTTTCAGCAATTAAATTTATTTGATGAGCAAAACAGTGTAAATGTCGTGTGCGCCCGAAACATAATTCTATTGCCTTACCCATGTTTGCTGCACCATCTGTAACAATTACACTTAGTTTTTCTTTTACAATACCCCAATCCATGCAAATTGTTTGTAATGTCTTTGAAATATTCTCACTGGTGTGTCTTTCACTAAGTTCCCAAACATTTAATGCAAGGCTACTTATTCTAATGTCTTCCTGAAAGTGAAGTGTTACGCCAAAGAAACTTGTGCTATTTAAAGTATCTGTCCAAATATCTGCAGTTAGGCTGTAATTGTCAATATTTTCTATTTTTGTTTTAACATGTGCTGCTGCAGCAATATATCGGTTTTCCAGTAAATTTGTGAGTGTTTTTCTTGTTGGTATTTTATATTGTGGTGCTAATGTTTGAAATAATTGTCTGAATCCCTTATCTTCAACAATAGAGAATGGTTGATAGTCTTTACATATCATATAAAGAATACTGTTTGATATTTTTGTATATCTATTGCCACCTTCAGCATATGAAATTGCATCCCGAAATGTTTCATTTATTGTACGCTGGCCCTTAAAACTTTTCTTCTCTGCCGAATCATCGTTACCACCATTTTTTTCTAAAATAAAAATGTGAGGGTGAGATTCATAGAAAATGGTTTATTTAAAATGTTTATGTCCATATATTGTGATCTGACTATGAAATCCAATGTTGATAATGTAAAATATGATTAAAAATGGACTCAAAAAACCTATAATACTATGAAATTTTGATAGATTACAATCTGCGAAACATGGGCACAAATATTAGGTAACGAAAAGTGCCACAGAATCTATACAAAATAAGCTATATAAATTTTACACAATATTTTTTTTATATTTACCTGAATTATTATCAGCACTTTCCGTATTGACACTTACACTAGTGCTGCTAGTAGAATAACAAGATTCTAGCTTTTGGGTATTATGTGTATTTCCTTTTCCTGTTATATCGGACATAGCCTTCGTAAATGACAGTAAATGACATCTTAAATTGGTTGTATTTCCAGAGGTTTTTATTTTTTTCCCACATAGCAAACACTTTGCAAAATTGTCATCCAATTTATCAAAAAATCTCCACAACTTGCTTTGTTTTGGGGACATTTTTAATTTTAAAAATTTCACAAACACGAGTTAGAACTTTGTTACACTTTGAATCGTCAAACAAAGAGACAAAAGAGGGAATAGAGAAGCGAAAACTAAAATAGAGGGAAATTTCCGCGCCAAATAGTTGACAGCAAACAGTCAATTTACCATATAGCCAATGTGATAAATATAATTTTACTATCCAAGGATTATATATGTTATTGTTTGTCCTAAATGTCACATGAAATTTTATTTATATTGAAGTTTTTTAACAATTGTGTCGCATTTTAGACTATTATCGTTAATAATTAATTAAAATTTTCTCTTCTAAGGCACATTCTGAAAAATATATAGCTACTGTTAATAAGTGTCGGAAAATTTAAATTTGGCGCATTCGCATTTCCGGATATGTTCGCCATCAGAGGCCACTTTTTGGTCTCCTTTTCATAAGGATTAGATTCCCTTCTTTGTCTTTTTGCTCGATGTTTTAAAAAAACATCGATGTTTCATCGATGGTTTAGATGTCTTGACATCAATGGTGAAATATCGAAAAATGATAACTAAACATCGATGTTTTAACATCATCGATAAAAAAGAACCATCACTAAACAAATCGCCCATTTGAACTGCTCTTCTATAAGCGTCTATATTCTTCGTCGGTACACCAAAACCTAGAGATAGTGTTTTATCTGTTATTTACCGACAAAATGTCTCGAAATTTGGACACGTTATTCAAAATTATGTTGCCTTTAAACTGATGATTTTATTTTTTTAATTTTTTTGAAAGTTCTTTTGAAATATTGTATTATCAGTTTAACGTTCTCTTATAACCAAACTTTTTACGCCCATCACTTGAAAGAGGTTTTTTTTTTCTGTAATCGTTGATTTTTTTTTCACCTTTCTGTGTCCAGTAATAATCGAGAAAAGTGTGTTCAAACTTTGAAGAAAATTGCTAAAAAATACTGAAATCTAATAGTGAAACGTGTTACTCATCATTGGCACTTAGTTTCACCGTTATCGGCTTCGTGATGTCAAAGCTCATGAACGTACGGTCAGTTAGTTTGAAATAATTTTCAAGCTATAACTGCGAAATTGTTTATTTGTTTGTGACAACAAATTGTATTTTTTTTTGATAATAATATTTTTATGTTTTTTAAATTTATTATAAATATACACCATGATGTTTTTTGCAGTCACATTTCACAAATTTTTATTCAATACTATATTTAGCTAAGACATATAAATTAAAAATGTGATAATTCTTTTTAAAACATCTACGATAATCAATCAAAAAAGGTATTCCCGACAAAACTAATTTGAATGGAGAATAATGCATTCGTTGTCATTAAACTACCTGTCGGCTGGCGCCACTGTACCCGCTGTACCCGTCGTCGACTGGCGTAAGCAAGGTAGAAAAGTAAGTGATACGCCCATTTTAAATCGCAGTGTGCTTTGACTGCTAAAACGGCCTTAATAATTCTACCCAGATGTTTTTATGTGAAGATGACTTGGACCTTGTGGTATGCAGGATCTGTAGCTTCAAGGAGATGTTTGCTACATTCTCAAATGCGCCAGATAATATGGGTCTAATGATCTACATATAATGAAAACAAAAGAAAGTTCATGACATCAGGGACAGACTAAGTAGTAAGCATAGTTACACCACAAACATAAAAATCGGAAGAGACAAACTGAAGAGTACCGCTCAAAAATAGAAGTTTATGAAAGCAGATTATTAATATTGATGGATATGATGGAATAATGATAATGAAACTTAATGTCGTCATTATAATTTAGTATACATTTGTATACAATAAATACAACAAAATAGCTAAAGCCAAATATGTAGTTATTGTAATAAAAATTAAATGTCTACAGTGATCAAGATATCTGTGCAAAGCAAATGAAAGCTACTCTACAAGACTAGAGAAAACTAGATGGAGTTTGATGACGAGATATACCAAAAGAATGAGATGTGGATCTTCTATATAAAAACCATTATTTAACACTGACTGGATAGCCATAGCTCTTGTTTTTTCCATTATACTCGAATAAGTGATGTGGCCTCAACGAAGGCCAACAGTTTCATTATATTAGTTTAAGGATCTCTTCTAGTTCAATCTTCAGTTGACCAGTGAATTCCTGCCTCATATCACTTATCACATTGTAATATGATGTGTATGACATTTTATTGTTCCATTTCGCATTTTCTGCACCATGGTTCATTCATCTTACATTATTTGTATAGGCGTTTTCTTAAACGACAATGTCCTATCACCGTTTAGGTGATCGTTTTAATCTCCCGTTTATCGAGATTTATCAAATTGTCCGAGAGTTTTTTATCAATAATCTTGTTATTTTCTTAGTCTGGATTTACCCTTTAGTGGCTCTCCATTTCTTTGGATAATTTCTTATGAGCCACTTCTGAATTTCGTTTTTTTTTGTAGCAATTTTGAGAATGCCACATAATATCCACAAAAATTTCTTTCGTGCCTTGTTTTGCCAACAAATTGGCTTGTTCATTCCCACAAACCCCTTTTTCACGTGGCACCCATATTGTCATATCTCTCTTTTTTATACTTACACTGATTAGCTCTTATTTTGTAAGCCAATTTCCCTACTTTATATTACTTACGCTAGTTATTTTTTATTTTAGATTTTTTCCAGAACAGAATGGAAAGTATGAAAACGTTACCTACATTTGACAGTACAACTATGAAGAAACCTAAACGAAGTCTAAACTATGAAGAAGCAACATTAAAAGATTCTACTTGTTCTGAAGATTTCTCTGGCATAAATAGTCTACACAAAAATGCAATCATTCAAACTCAAGAAGGGCGTTACAAATGTAAAACTTGTTTTAAGCAGTTTTCTCAGAAATATTCTTTAAAAATCCATTTTAGAGTGCATACTGGAGAAAAACCTTATACGTGTGAAATTTGTTTTAAGCAGTTTAGCCTAGCAGGTAATTTAAAAAATCATTTGAAAGTGCATACTGGAGAAAAGCCTTATAAGTGTGAAATTTGCCTTAGGCTGTTTTCTCAACTAAGTGCTATAAAAGAACATATGAGATCGCACACTGGAGAAAAGCCGTACAAGTGTAAAATTTGTTTTAAGCAATTTAATCAAGCACGTAAATTAAAAATCCATTTTAGAGTCCACACTGGAGAAAAGCCTTACACGTGTGAAATTTGTTTAAAGCAATTTAGACAAACCGGTCATTTGAAAACGCATTTGAGATTGCACACTGGAGAAAAGCCTTGCAAGTGTGAAATTTGTTTGAAGCAATTTCGTGACAAAAGTAAATTGAAAAATCATTTGCAAGTGCATACTGGAGAAAAGCCTTGCAAGTGTGAAATTTGTTTGAAGCAATTTCGTGACAAAAGTAAATTGAAAAATCATTTGCAAGTGCATACTGGAGAAAAGCCTTACAAGTGTGAAATTTGTCTTAAGCCGTTTTCTCAACTAAGTGTTATAAAACAACATATGAGATCGCACACTGGAGAAAAGCCGTACAAGTGTAAAATTTGTTTTAAGCAATTTAGTCATGCAGGTAAATTAAAAATTCATTTTAGAGTGCACTCAGGAGAAAATCCGTGAAATGTGTTTGACCCAGTTTAGTGTAGCAGCCAGTTTGAAAAGCCATTTTAGACTGCATGCTAGAGAAAAGATCTACAATTGTGAAATTTGTTTTCAACAGTTTAGCGTAGCAGGCAGTTTAAAAAAGCATGTGAGAGTGCATACTGGAGTAGCCTTACAAGTGTAAAGATTTTTTACTCAGTTTTCTTAGTAGGTAGTTTGAAATATCACATGAAATCACACACTGAAGAAAAGCAGTCAAAGTGTGAAATAAGCAGTGTAGTACAACTTCAAAACATATTTGAGAGTGCATACTAGAAACAAATCGTACAATTGTATGATGTTGAGCAGTTTAGTAATGCAGGTAATTTTAGAATACATTTGAGTGTACCTCTGGTAAAAATTTTATAAATGTGAAATTTGTTTTAAGCAGTTTTACCTAGCACCGTTGGAAACATTTTTTTCTTCTTATTTTAAGTCAACGTGTTGTATCTCCATAGATGGAATTCTGATGTTCACCTTTTGTACCATTATTTGGGGTGTCTTCAAGGTGGTCTGCTGTTGTTTGGTTTCTCTTATTTAGCAATATTTGCAAGTCTTGCTTTTGATGCTAATATATTTCTTCTTCAAGTTTCATTTTTTATCGAAGGTTGGAAATCATCATAACTATGCGGACGATGTTGACCGCCGTTCTAAATAGTTCTGCACTAGATTAAGTTTTTAACCCGTGACATTCCTCGTCTTCCCACATTTCGCTTTCCTGGAATTTTGCGTTGCATAACTTGTAATAAGAGTATTTTTGCTCTCTTATCATATCCTAAGTACTCAAGTTTTCTTCTCATATTTCATATATTTGCTTCTCCATATTTTATTCCGGAAAGATTCTGGTACCCTAGACGCCGTTATCGCTTGTGTTTGTATTATCTTAGATTTACAGGTATGTGGCGACTGTAAAATGTGCGAAGCGCGTGAAAATATACAAGTTAATCCAAAAAGTAGAGGAAGGTGAGAAGAAAAGTGATGTTGCAAAAGAATTTAAGATTCCTCTGAGTACTCTTTCAACCATATTAAAGCACAAGGAGAAAATTAGTGATGCTCAAACAGAAACTTGTTGAAAGGAAAAAGCAGAAGAGTTAGCGTCAACTCCAAGCATCAAAAACGTGCAATTGAAGGGTGGCTTACAAATTTCAAAAGGAGACATGGAGTTGGATGACGACAGAACTTTTAACAATTGTCTTTCAACAGTTAATAGGGACATGAAATGGCAAAAGCGGAAAATTTTACTATTTTTTAGACAATTGCACTGTCCACAACAGTCCTCCTACATTGTACAACGTGGAACTATACTTCTTTCCGTAAAATGCAACTTCCAAATTGCAACCATTGGACAAAGGGATCATCCGTAATTTTAAGACGTTATATCTTCTTCTTCTGGTAGC